CACTGCTGTTTTACCAGTTTTCCAATTTCAATAAAGGGAACTCTCTCCTCAGTAGTCTCCCTAGATGATATTTTGAGAAAGGGGTTTCTATAACTTTCAAGGTCAAAATACATGAACTTAGACTCTGTGCATTCTTATTTTGAGAGGCTAAAATCTGGCTGCTTTGTGTATTTAACTGTTTTTAAACAGCTATAAAGAGACACAATAATGCTACTCACAAGAATCTAGGCATACCTAGATGACAAAATAGCCACCAGAGACATGGGGATGCCCAAAGCTGGGTAAATGGCTACAAGGTTTAGACCAATGGTATCTGATCTCTGATCCAAGTAATGGTACACAGGCCAGAAATGTCTGAACTAGAAAGTGGGATTAGGCCAGAGGTGTCTGACCAGAGAAATAAGAGATAGGCCAGTGTTGCCTACTCCAGGTTGGAAACTCAAAACTATCATTAGAATCCAAGGTCTATACTGCACTTTTTTCATTTAAAAATTTTATTCTATTGTGTATGTGAGTGCCTGAGTGTGTGTTTGTGCACCACATGTGTGCAGGTCCCCAAGGAAACCAGACTATCCCTGGAACTGGAATTAACAGGTAGTTGTGAGCCATCTTATGTGGGTAATGGGAACTGAACCCACGTCCTCCAGAAGAGCAAGTGCTATGAACCACTGAGCTATCACTTCAGCCCCTCTGTACTGTATTTTTGTTTAATCTTTTTTTCTTCTAGATACACAAGCAAGCATGGTAGACTGTGTTTAGCCCCACTGTACATTCAGTGAAACATTTTGGCTTGAGGTGACACCAGGAAACCATTTCCATCATTAAAGTTTCCCCTTCTGCTGTCAGCTTTCGTTGTTGTTTTGTTTTTTAGACACAACTGGCCTGGAACTTGCTACGTACCAAGCTGGCCTTGATCGTATAGAGATCCACTTGCCTCTACCTTCCATGTACTGGGACTAAAAGCAAGTGCTACTACGCCCCGCTGCTGTCAGCTTTTTAAATTAAAAGAAGGTTTTCTTGTCTTTTACGTGTATGAGCGTATTGCCTGCATGTGTCATGCGATGCCCTCGGAGTCAGAAGAAGGTGTTGGGATTCCCCTGGAACTCGAGTTACAGACAGTTGTTAGCCACTGTATGGGTGTTGGGAATTGAACCCAGGTCCTCTGCAAGAGCAGCCAGTGCTCTTAACCGCTGAACCATCTCTCCAGCCCCGCTGTCGGCTTTTTAAGTGGGAAGATTTTTACCTAACTTTAAATTCTGACCTTTTTGCTTTTACTGCACATCTACTTGAGCCTTATCGATGATCAGGTCAGTCTCTAAGTCTTCGCCTTTAAGATGTATGTTTTCTGCCTGTTTCTAAGAGAAATCATACCTTTAAATTCAGAAGTGAAGATTTGGGATTAAGGATTGCTTAGTGCTGTGAAATAAATAATTGAATCAACAGTAACAGTTGAGCTGGGCATGACGGTGCATACCTTTAGTCCAAGCACTCAGGAGGCAGAGGCAGGTGGATCTCTTTGAGATCAAGACCAGCCTGATCTACATATTGAGTTCTAGGCCAACTAGAGCCTTAGGGAAACTCAATCTAAAACACCAAAAAACAAAAGCAAACTAACAATTGATATATCTAAACAAAGTCCCAAAATCTTTGTTTTTACTTAATCTGTCTTTATTTGTGACTATATGTGTGTATCATCTACAAGTGCTTATGTTTTTATGTTTACATATACCAAAATGACTAATAAGAAAGTAGTCCCATGAATGGAAATTGTTAAATTAGTTCAAATTCGTTTTAATTCATGATAAAATTAAAATTATAAAGGGGGAAAGAAACTCTATTTCCAACCGTCCCAAACAGTTAGACTTGGTCACCTATCTCCATATGCAAGTTACAGAAACAGAATAATGGTGAGGGACAGAGAGGACATTTAATTAGTGTTGGCCAGATTAGGGCAATGAATAGAGGGGCCTTAACATGAGCCTTTGAGGGAAAAAAAAACAACAGATATGCATGATTGAAAAGTTCTGATTTGAGTGTTGCTTCATTGATCCTTGTCTCAATTCTGTTTATATAAGAGGGTCTAAGAAGCCCCTATTGCTTGAAGGGATTTACTGGTCCTTAAGAGTTGATTACTCCTGCACCAGGGTGTAGCTGTACGCTAATGGGTAATTGCCTTCATCTGGGGTGCTATCGTGTTATTCCAGGGACTGGAAATGTAACCTTCTCTGTGCTTTCAGCTCTCCTTGTATTACTAATATGCTTACCTAAAGATAAGCAAGTAATTCAACGGGCAGTAGACACAAAGTGAACACAGAGATGCCAGAACTGTGTCCTATGTTGTCTGCATCATGAGCCTAAATAAGAAAATAAATGCTTTTTATGTGTATGAGCATATTGCCTACATGTGTGTAAGTGCACCTGTGTCATACAGTACCCGTGGAGGTGAGAAGAGGGCATCAGACCCCTGGAACTGGAGTTATGGATGATGGTCAACTGCCATGTGGGTGCTGGGAATTGAACCTCGGTCCTCTGCAAGAGCAGCCAGTGCTTTTAATCACTGAGCAATCTCTCCAGTCCCAATAAATCCTTTGAAATAAAAGGAGTTTCTAAGTGCCTAACAAATATTTGTTAATTTAAATTGCTGGTGAGAGAAAATAAAGAATCTCCATGACTATAACATGTTTTGCCTATGTTTCAGACATAAATTACTGTATTTAATTAAAATATGAAATTTTTTATTAAAAATGAAATACTTTGGGACTGGAGAGGTGGCTCAGCAGTTAAGAGCACTCACTGTTCTTGCAGAGGACCCGGGATAGATTCCCAGCACCCACATGGCAGCTAATAACTGTCCATTACTCCAGTTTCAGGGGATCTGAAGCCCTCTTCTGACCTCCTTGGGCATTGCATGACATGGGTGCACTTATACACATGCAGGCAAACACTCATACACATAAAATTAAAAAATAAATATACTTTTTTTTTAAATTTTGTGGAAATGTTACATTAGAACATGGTACTTGGATTAATTTGCATCTCAGGTCAGTCTTTCATATTTGACTCAAGAATGAATTATCTCATATTTTCTTTGAGATGGGAGCTGGATTTCTGCAATGAAAGAGGCAAAAAGCTAAAACATGGGAGTACCTTTGAAATATCCTATGCCCCAGCTCTTCCACTTTGAAATAAGAAAGTATTTAACTTGTTTTTTATTTTAACAGGAGACCACAGTTAAAAGATTTTGGACTTCCTTAAGAAGCATTGAACTGGGGCTGGAGAAACGGGCTCAGCAGCGAAGGACACTGACTGCTCTTGCAGAGGACCCAGGTTCAGTTCCCAGCACTCACATGGTGGCTAACAATTGTCCATAACTCCAGTTCTAGGGCACTCAGCGCCCTCTTCTGACCTCCTGGAGCACTGCATTTACATGCATGGAAGCAATATACTCATACACATAAAATAAAATAAAAGTAATAAAATATTGTTTAAAAGAAACATTAAACTTTTAAAGATTTGAAATTATTCAAGATTTGGGGAAGCCCCGGACACCAACCATGCTCTGGTCTTGGCACCCTTCTGATCATCCACTGAAATCCCACCATACACGAAAATCCAGGACAGACGCAGGGGACATTGATTACCCGGGGTCCTCTGCATCCTCAGAGATGTCGGCACTGCTTGAGGAGTTGACTGACAGTTTACTTGCTTACCAGGATCCCAGTTCTCCGGAGTCATCCACAGAACCAGATAAATTCAGTTTCACCTCAGGATCTGCACAAGAAGCAAACACTGCCTGGAAGCAGCCAGAGAACATTTTAATGCTAAATGGAGATCAAATTCAGGTCCCTGTTCTGCCTTAGCAGTTCAGAAGTACTGCTGGTCTAGATCAGACTACAGATCACCAGTTGTATGAAATACTTGTTCCATCACTAGACAATCAGTACAAAAGCAACAAAGTCCATTGTTTCACCCCAGGACTTGAAGAAAGATCTAACTCGGCACAGACCACTCGCTGAAGTAGTTGTTGGAAAAACTCAGCTTCAGAAACAAATCTCGGAGGGTGATGTTGAAGATTCAAGTATGAATGAAGCTTATTCGGAGAGCGTACCTCTGCAATCCCAGGCAGACATAGGTGAGCCTCCAGAACGCCCTGAGCAGTTTGAACCATCCCGCTTCCAGGTGAAGACCCAAACTCACCATCCAGATCATTCCCAGGCAGAAACTCTAGATTATCTTCCACAGCCCCCTGATCAACATCAACTCGATTCTGAGGCATCAATGCATCCTGAGAACAATGATCCATTTCCAAACAGAAATGAAGCTGAGCACTCAAACTGGCCAAATGTCACAGCGAAACCCACAGATCTTGAGATTACAGTAACTTCAGAGGCAGAAAAAGAGGCCGAAGCCATTTTGAGTCAGCAGCAGCGGGCTCCAGTCCAGCTTCCAGAGAGTCCTGAGGAGGTAGGACCCTCATCAGTTCCACAAGAGGCCCCAGGTCAGACCTCAGATTTTCCTGAAGACCTTGAAACTTCTGGAAGTCAGCTGGAAGTTCCAGCTCTGCCTACAAAGCTCTCCAGATTCCTCTATGCAGAATATAGTCGAAACTCCAACAGCATTTAACTCCCTGTCAGGATCAAGTTCACCATTATAGTTTTCCCACTATTACAGTTAAGCGTGCAGATGTGGAACTTACAGTAACTTCTGAGCCTTCTCCTAGTCAACAGCAGCAGCCAGTTAAATCTTCTGAGTCTCCTGAGGAAGTTGAATCTTCTGAACAGTATCTGGAGTTCCCAGTTCAGCCTCAAGACAATGCTGAGGAAGTGGAGTCTTTTCCAACACTGCAGGATGTTATCCCATCTCAACATCCAGGCCCTCTTTTGGAGGATGAACCTTTTAATGAACTAGAGCAGCCAACTCAACCTTCTGAATCTCCAGAGGAAGTGGAATCAGGTTCTGGAAACCAGCCAGAAGCCTCATTTCAGCCCGCAGAGCACCCTGAAGTAATAAAACCTCCAAATGAGCAAGGGGCTCCACTTCAAACTCCAGAGATCCCTTTTGTAACAGTCCAACCAGGTCAAGATGAAGATCATTATAACTTCCTGAATATTACAGTTAGGCCTGTGGATGTGGCACTTACCATAACTTCACAGCCTACCAAGGATATTGAATCATCTCTGACCCAGCAGGGGTACCCAGTGCATCCTCTGGGGTCCTTTGAAGCAGTGGGATCTTTTCTCAGTGGACAGGAGCAGTCAGCTTCTGAATCTCCTGGGGAGAACCAATTTGAGAGACAGCTGGAAATCCCAGGGGAAGACTCAAGCGTATGCTGATGAGTTTGAACCTTCTTCAATGCAGCAGGAACAACCAACCAGCTCAGCCTCCAGAGCTCCCTAATGAAATGGTAGTTCAACCTCCAGAACACTGTGAGGTAACAATTTCTCCTCTTGATCAAGATCAAGTTCAACCTCCAATATCACACAATGTCACAGGTGAACCTCCAGAGGTGATTAATGAGGGTGAACCTTTGAGAGACCAGCAAGACATTACAACACATCAGTCAACCCTCCCTGAAAAGGATCAGCATTCTCCAGCCTATTCAGGGGTTCCAACCCAACCTGAAGAGCATCCTGAGGAACCTTCTCCAATTCAGCAGGGGCGCACAGATGGGCCTTCTATGATAGACAGCATATTTCTTTTACCTGCATATATAGAAACACTATTCAGAGCTAAACATTCAAAGTTGAATAAAACCACAGGTAAACACGTGGATTTAGGAGTTACCATAACTCCAGAGCCTTCTATGGAGGTTGGGCCTAAAATCATTCTTAAGGAGGAAATAGCTCAGCCTATAAATCCCACTGAACAAGTTGATTTTTCTCCATTGTACTGTGACTTTCTTCCCGTGCCTCCAGATTTCTCTGAAATTGAATCTCTGGCTCATCAAGAGGCCATAACTCAGACAATGGCCATCCCTGAAAAAGATATTTTTTTAAAGCTCAGCATGACAGCTCAAAATTACCCACACATCCCATTCTGGGTATAGAATGTTTTCCAGCTCAGCAAATGACTCCAGAGCCTCTGAACAATGCTGTAATTCAGCCTCCAACATATGAGATGATAGTTGCAGAACCAGGCCATCAAGCTGAGTATCTAAAATCAACTGGTGTCTCAGTTCATCCTTTGGATCTGGCAATCACTGTAACTTCAAAACTTATTCCAGAGGCTAAGCATTCCAGAGGCTAACTTATTCCAGAGACTCACTATCCTACAACATCACACAGCATTACACATCAGCCTTTGCACCTGAAACTCACCATAAGTCCAGAACCTACTCCAGAGACTCACCATCCTACAATGTCACACAGCATTATAAATCAGGCTTTGGACCTGGAAGTCACCATAATTCCACAGACCACTCCAGAGACTCACCATCCTACAACATCACACACCATTACACGTCAGCCTATGGACCTGGATCTCACCATAACTCCAGAACCTACTCCAGAGACTGTTGGGAGCTATTAGTATAAGCACAGCCATTATGTACATTGAGCTGTGTCAGGCTTGCTTGTTTACTTTATAATTTTTCACCTTGACTCAAGAGTTTGTGTGTTTTGCACACCAGCACCTAATTACTCTGCCAAGTCAGGAGGAATGTGTTGATAATTTAGGGAAGGTGGTTAAGTGGTGGCGTTCACAACAAGTATTTGATGGTTCCTTGACCCTCAGATAAAGGTGGGAAAAAACAGCTGTTGAAGCTAATTGAGCTAAGCAAACGGTGGCTGTCTGATGTTCTACTGTGTAAAAGGGCTGAGCTAAAACAAACCAGGGCTGCAGTCTCTACTGACAGTGCTCCCAAGTATCTTTCTCTGTCTCTTGTTTTTTTCAATCCTCACTCCCCCTTTCAGGTGCTGTTTGTCTCAGCCAGCTGGCACCAGCAAGAGACTCACCATCCTACAACATCATCCACAGAAACATATCAGCCTTTTGACCAGGAACTCACCATAACTCCTGTTCCTACTCCAGAGACACCATACAACACTACACAGCATTACCAGACACCCTTTGGACCTGGAACTCACTATAACTCCAGAACAACTCCAGAGACTCACCATCCACCATTACATATCACCCTATGGACCTGGAACTTACCATAACTCGAGAACCTACTCCAGAGACTCACCATCCGAGAACATCATCCACCATTACACACCAGCCTTTGGACCGGGAACTCACCATAACTTCAGAACCTATTCCAGAGATTCACCGTCTGACAACATCATCCACTATTACACGTCAGCCTTTGCACCTGGAACTCAACATAACTCCAGAATTTATTCCAGAGACTCACCACCATACATCATCCACCATTACATGTCAGCCTTTGGACCTACAACTCACAATAACTCCAGAATTTATTCCAGAGACTCACCATCCTATAACATCATCCTGTGTTACACATCAGACTTTGGACTTGGAACTCACCATAACTGCAGAATTTATTCCAGAGACTCACCACCATACATCATCATCCACCGTTACACATCAGCCTTTGGACGTGGAAATTACCATAACTCCAAAACATACCCCAGGGACTTGCCATCCTACAACATCGCACATTACATGTCAGCATTTGGACCTGGAACTCACCATAATTCCAGAACTCACTGCAGAGACTCACCATCCTACAACCTCATCCACTGTTACACATCAGCCTTTGGACCTGAAACTCACCATAACTCTAGACCCTACTCCAGAGATTCACCATGCTACAACATCATCCACTCTTACACGTAACTCGAGAACCTACTCCAGAGACTCCTGGAACTCACCATAACTCCAGAATTTTTTCCAGAGACTCACCATCCTACAACATCATCCGCTGTTAAACATCAGCCTATGGAGTTGGAAATCACCACAACTCCAGAACTTACTCCAGAGACTCACCATTCTACATCATCCATTGATACATGTCATCCTTTGGACTTTGAACTTACCATTACTCCAGAATTTATTCCAGAGACTCAGCATCCTACAACATTATACGCTGTTACACATCAGCCTTTGGACCTGGAACTCACCATTACTCCCAAACTTACTCCAGAGACTCACCATCCTACATCACACAGCATTACACATCAGCCTTTGGACCTGGAGCTCACCATCACTCCAGAAGTTTTTCCAGAGACTCACCATCCTACAACATCATCCACTGTTCCACAGCAGCCTTTGGACCTGGAACTCAGAATAACTCCAGAACCTACTCCAGAGACTCACCATCCTACAACATCATCCACTGTTACACATCAGCCTTTGGACCTGGAAGTCACCATAACTCCAGAACCTACTGCAGACATTCACCATCCTACTACATCACACAGCATTACATGTCAGCCTTTGGACCTGGAACTCACCATAAGTCCAGAACCGAATCCAGAGACTCACCATCCTTCAACATCACAAAGCATTACATGTCAGCCTTTGGACCTGGAACTCACCATAAGTCCAGAACCGAATCCAGAGACTCACCATCCTACAACATCACACAGCATTACATGTCAGCCTTTGGACCTGGAACTCACCATTAGTCCAGAACCTACTCCAGAGACTCACCATCCTACATCATCACCCACTGTTACACATCAGCCTTGGGAGCTGGAACTCATCATGACTCCAGAACCAACTCAGAGACTCACCATCCTACAATGTCACTCAGAATTACACGTCAGCCTTTGGACCTGAAACTCACCATAACTCCAGAACCTACTCCAGAGATTAACCATCCTACAACATCATCCACTGTTATATGTCAGCCTTTGGAGCTGGAACACACCATAACTCCAGAACCTATTCCAGAGACTCACTATCCTACAGCATCACACAGGATTACACATCAGCCTTTGGACCTGGAACTCACCATAACTCCAGAACCTATTCCAGAGATTCACCATCCTCAACATCATGCACTGTTATACCTCAGCCTTCGACGTGGAACTCACCATAACTCCAGAACCCTCTCAACAGAGTCACCATGCTAAAACATCACACAGCATTACACATCAGTCTTTGGACCTGAAAGTCACCATAACTCCAGAACCTGCTACAGAGACTCACCATCCTACAATATCGCACAGCATTTCACATGAACCTGTGGACCTGGAACTCACTATAATTCATGAACCTACTCCAGAGACTCACCATCCTTCAACATCACAAAGCATTACATGTCAGCCTTTGGACCTGGAACTCACCATAACTCCAGAACCTACTCCAGAGACTCACCATCCTACAATATCACACAGCATTACACATCACCCTTTGGACATGACACTCACCATAACTCCAGAACCTACTCCAGAGACTCACCATCGTACACCATCAGAGACTCATAATCCTACATCATCCACTATTACACATCAGCCTTTGGACCTGGAACTCACCATAACTCCAGAACCAACTCCACACAATGTTTTGTGTGGGCATATGTTTTTAAGTCTCTTGGATACATAAGATTCTACTAGGAGTAGAATTTTTGAATCATATAGTAACTCTATATTTAACCTTTTGTGGAACTGCCAAACTGTTTTCCAAAGCAGCTGCCTGGTTTACACTGCTACCAATATATTTCTCCACATCCTTGCCAACAGTTGTTATCTAATTTTAAGTGAATATATTATTATAGCCAATCTAGTGGGTGAGAAGTGGTAGTTTACTATGGTTTTAATTTGTGTGTCTCTGATGGCTAAAGATATCAATGCCTTTTCATTTGCTTATTGGCCGTTTTATCCTCTTATGTAAAGTATCATCCCATTCTTAAATTGAATTTATGTGCTTTTTTTGGGGTGTTTTGAGGCAGGGTCTCTTGTCTCAGGCTGGCCTCATACTTGCCATGTTCTCAGTCGAGGATGACTTTGCACTTCTGATCCTCCTGCCTCCACCTTCGGAGTACTGGGATTACAAATGTGTGCCATCGTGCCCATTGTATGTGTTGCGAATCAAACCTAGGGCTTCGAGCATGTATAACTAAGCATTGGACCAACTGTGTTATATGCCCAGCCTCGTTTAAATCTCTTAATGTTTTTTGTTTGAGCAAAAGTATTTTTTGAGATCCGCCTGCCTCTGCCTCCCAAGTGCTGGGATTAAAGGCATGCGCCACCACGCCTGGTGAGTAAAAGTTTTTAATTTGGGGGGTTAGGGATATAGCTTAGTGGTAGAACACTTGCCCTGTATATATGAGGCCTTCTGTTCAGTTTCTAGCACTGTACAAAACACAAAAAATACTTAGACATGATGGTAGATTCCTGTAATCCCAGCACTGCAGAGTCTGACACAGGTGGATTTCAGGTTCCAAACCAGGTGAGATTCTTAAAAAAGAAAAAAAGAAAAACTGATACTCTGCCATGCTGTCTGTGCTGGACTTGAACTCACAGCAATCCTTGTGCCTCGACCTTCTACACACTGGGACCACTTGCATGTACCACCATGCCCAGGTTAAAAGGGAATTTTTACTTTACTCATGTTTATCAGTCTTCTTGCTTGTGATTTGCCTGTTCCATTTAAGAAATCTTTGTTAATCTGAAACCTCTGAAGGCCTTCCCCTGTGTTTCCTTGTAGAAGCTTATCTTGCAGAGTTAGATTTATGATCTATGTGGGATTAATTTTTATATCTGGCATGAGGTACAGGGGTGTGGGGGGGTTTGAGATAGGGTCTCACTATGTAGCCCTGGTTGGCCTGGAACTCGCTATGTAAACTGGCCTGGCCTCAAACTACAGAGATCTGCTTGTCTCTGCCTCTTGAGTGTTAGGATTCAGTTTATATTTTGTAGAAAAAATTTTTTATATGTGCTTATGTATGTATTTAGCATGTGTGTGAGCATGTATGTATGTGCTTCTACACACTGTGCCATAGCACACAAATGGAGGTCCGAGAACATCTTGCAGGAGTAGACTCTTTCCTTCCACCCCATGTGGGTTCTAGGGATCAACTCAGGCTGTGAGTCTTGGTGGAAAGTGCCTTTACCCGCAGAGCCATCTTTATGTTTTCTATACAGACTCTAGAATGGCCTAGCTCTGCTGATTGAATATGACTATGAAAATCTTATAATTATGTACCTGGATCAGAATCTCCATTTACCATCTTGAAGATGGCTCTAGATTTACCTCTGGAAAATGAATTTTATGAGATCTTGAAGGTAGTGACCAGGCAATCACCAAGGCATGCTGAAAGTTGAAAGGCTGTGTAACTCCTGACTCAGGCTGCAGGGAGAGAGATGCTTCCTGGGATTGGTGCCTGTGCCCCAACAGGGCTCCAAAATGTGGCTTTTCCATGGTGAGTTCACTCCTGTCCAGAGTCTGACTTCTGCTGTGGAGGCCCAGACACTTGTCACGGTCCCAGGACTGGTGGGATTGGACAGCTAACCTGTCACCAAAATTCTTCCTATGCCCACTAAGATCTGATCCTCCTGCTTCCTGTTAGCTCCCTAGACAAAGCAAGCTACTTTCAGCCTCCTGCTTTTACAGTCACTGTCCCTTGTGCCTGGATCTTTCCCTCTCCTGGTTTTACAGTCACTGTCCCTTGTGCCTGGATCTCTCCCGACTTGCTCCTGTCTCAACCTTTCTGGACTCCAGGGTCTAAGAAGTGCCACCCCAGTGACTGTCCATCTGTTCTGCTTTGTTTATAGCACTTATCATGATGTGCATTCAGACTCTTTGTCTCTGTTGTTGGGTAGAGTGCTTTGGGCGCCATCAACTTCTTACAGCCCTGAAAACCATTTCTCCTTTCCTTTTTAAGTGTTTTGTTTGTGATTCATTCAACACAAAGCATTGACTGTGAGCCAAGTGCACAGATGTATGAATACAGTGATGAACAGGACAAAGAAGAGACCTGCCCTTTGGGGACAGATGCCAGATTAGACAAACAATGATGCACCGTGATTATACTACAGCTCAGTGCTGGGGAGGAAAGAGCCAGGGAGTGGGAGCTCCCGAGGGTGACTAAACTTGACCTGGTTACTGCCCCACACACCACCTGCCTGTGGCATGGGGTTCCCTCCTGCAGTTGAGGTATAGGCAATCCCTTTGCCTGGCATAATGAAGACAGTCTGGATAGAAAGTCCAGTCCTTTTGAAAAGGGTCCAGAGACCTGATATTGCATCCCTCAGCCAAATTCCCCAGGACATCCTGACACCTAGTAACTCAAGGTGGCATTCCTCTGTCTTGGATCCCAGATGGCAGGTGTAGATCCCAGGTCATTGGTGATCTCCCCACAGCCAAGGGAACAAAGAGCTAGCCAGATGAGGGGCCCTCAAAGAGCAGGCATGGGAGTGTGTCAGGGAGAGGTGAGAGAAAAGAGTAACAGCGGTGATGATGATAGCCCTCTGTGATTACTGGGTGCTCTTGTGCTCTTTCCCATTCCAGGGGTCAAAACCACCTTCAGTGCTCTCTCCAAGGAACCTGCTCCCCGTGGTTTTTCCATTGCTTGAGAGAAACAAAGACTTTCTCTAGAGAATCATCTAGTAGCTGTTCCGTGGTCAGTGGCCACTGAACATTTCTTAGTATCTCCCTCTGGTCAGTGGAAGAGAAGCCCTCATGACTTAGAGTTATAAGTTCACATTTGTCTCCATCCCTCCAGTTCCTTCTACCCACCTTGTTACTTTGACATTGAAGTCATTGGAAAGTCAAGAATTAGTCCCTTGGGATTTAGTTCCTTTAGAGATGGTTCAATGGGTAAAGTTGTCCTCAGACTTCCACATAAGTACCATGGTACATATGCCCAAATATACATACACACACACACACACACACGCACGCACGCACGCACGCACACACACACACGTCTCTTTTTTATAACTCTGCCATGCACTTTTACTTGACATTATCAAGAAAATGACAGTTTCAAACAGCCTTAGAGATGACAGGATGAGAGTGAGCAGAGGACACCCCTGGGGCCCAGTCGGGCTGACTGGCCTGGTAGAAGATGAGTGAGGATGTGAGCTGGGGTCCTGTAAAGCAGCTTTCAGTAAGTGGTGATGGCTGACCCCTAGTGGAGTCCTAACAGCCTCTCTGATTAGGGCCATGAGCAGGGACTGCTCATGGCAGGATCACCAAGTGTGTGTGAGGCCAGAGGATGGCCATGTGACTGCTAGAAGCTATTTGTCCCATCCATTTTCCTCAGGGAATCATCTGGGTGTTGGTGACCCAGACAGACTTTGTTCAGAATTCGGTTTCACATGGACCTCAGCAGCCCCACTGACTGACATATTGTCCTGCTCCTGGCAAAAGGAAGCACCTGTGAATTTGGAGAGATCCCCTGAAGAAGAGGCCCTGGGGGGACCCAGTTCTGGGAAGCTCCCCCGAGTGCGCGAATCAGAACTCGCCTCTTTTAGCTTCAGGAGTCTCGTGGTATCTGAATGTATTAAACTGTCCAAACTAGCCCTTCCGATGCAGCTCCAGCCTGGACTCTCTTCCCTGTCTACCTCAGCAGGAAGGGTACCCTGGATTTAGGGTTGGAAATAGCAATGTCAGAGTGAGGTTGGTAATACTTGACAGAGCAGCAGGGCTGGTCCTATCCCTGGTGTGACTCATTCCCTTTGTGTAGACCACCACTTAGTGCAGTCGGCCAGCTTCCTTGCCTCTGCTCTCCCCTGCGCAGGGACAGAAAGGCAGAGAGGGCTTACAACAGTGAAGAAAAAGGAACTAGACACTGTTCCCACAAGGCCACTGAACGCAGATATCCCCAACTTTCCCCGTCAGTGAGCACCTTCAGACTTGGAGAGCACAGCAGACAGGGAGGGCCAGGGCCTGCCTAATGGGTCTTCAGGGGCTCCCTCAAATGTAGGGAGCAGAGTTACAAGCAGCCAGTGAGAACTGAACCCATGCACACACACCCCTCATCTCAAACACTTTTCCAAGGTAGGAAAGTCCGAGGTGCTAGGACAGCTATTTCCCCCTGCAAGAGAATCAAGTTGCACCCCTTCCTTACATCTTACACAAAAGCTGACTCAAAATGGGTCACAGAAATGTAAGATCTAAAATTATAAAGCTCTTAGCAGAAATGTAGGAGTAAATCTTTGTGGCAATGGCTTTAACAGTAATTTCTTAGATAAAACACTAGGAGCACAGACCAAAAAAAAAAAAGCTGTTAGACTTCAAATTAAAAAACCTTTGGGCTGGGGCTGGAGAGATGGATCAGCAGTTAAAACACTGGTTGTTCTTGCAGAAGACCCAGGTTTGAATCCCAGCACCCACATGGCAGCTAACAACTGTCTGTAACTCCAGTCCCAGAGGATCCCACAGCCTCTTCTGACCTCTGCGGGCATTGTGTGACACGGGTGCACTTACCTACATGCAGGTAATACACGCATACACATGAAAATAAAAATAATAAATAAAAAATTTAAATAATTATGTATATGAATATGTGTCTGTGTGTGGGTACCCACAGAGGTCAGAGGTGTGGGATCCTCTGGAGCTGGAGTTAAGGGTGTCTGAGAAGCTGAGGCCAGAGGCTTTATTCAAAGCTAGTTCCAGGCCAGCCTTGGCGACACAGTCTCAAAAAGAGAAAAGGGAGAGGAAGACAAAGAAAAGAATAAGACGGTATGTAGAATAGTAGAAATTGTTGGCAAGTCAGATAGGTGATAAGGTTCTAGTATCAGAATCTATAAAGAGCTAAACTAGATGGCCTAAAACAACAGAAATGTGTCCTTTAATAGTACTAGAGGCTGGAAGTCTGAGCCAGATGGGGCAGGATTGGTTTCCTTCCTAGATTCCGAGGAAGAATGTCTTCCGTGGCTTTCTGTTGGCCCTGAGTATTCTTGGCCCTCTTTCTCTGGTTTGTAGAGGCTTGGCTTCAGTCCCCCTTCATCATCCCACACATTCTCCTCCACATTTCTGTCTTCCCTTGGCATTTTCCTCAGTGTATATGGCTCTTTGTTTTGTTTTGTTTCATTTTTGAATCAGGGTCTCACTATGTAGCCCTGACTGACTGGAACTCACTATGTAGACCAAGCTCACCTCAAACTCACAGAAGTCTGCCTGGCTCTGCCTCCCCAGTGCTGGGTTAAAGGCATGTGCTCCCATATCTGGCATGTCTCCTCTTATAAGAACATCAGTCATGTTAGACGAAGGGCCCACCATGCTCCACTACAAACTCATCTTAACTGATTACATTATGAGGACTAAATACATTTTAAGGACTCTACATCTAAATAAGATGACATTCTGAGGTACCGAGGGTTAAGATTTCAACAAGTTTTCTGGGAATGCGAACACAATTCAACCCCTAACAAAACATAAACCTAATTTTTAAAGGGGCAAAGGATTTAAAAAAACAAAAACAGAAGAGATAGTGGTAACCAGTAAGCACATAGAAAGGTGTTCTGTTGTCATTACACATTAAAGAAATGCAAATCAAAACCACAGTGAGATAGCACTTCACACACATCATCAGCATAATGTAAATTAAGAAAACATAATTTTAAAAAAGAAGACATAATAACAAAGACTGGAGAACTTATAAAGAAACTGGAGGGCTAGAGAGATGGCTCAGAGGTTAAGAGCACTGGCTGCTCTCGCAGAGTACTCTTGCAGAGGAACCAGGTTTGATGCCCAGCACCCACATGGCAGCTAACAACCATCCATAACTCCAGTTCCAGGGGATCTGGCGCCATCTTCTGACTTCTGAGGGCATTGCATGACATGGTTGCACTTAAATATATCTGCAGGTAATACACTCATGTACATAAAATAAATAATAAATAAAATTTTTTAAAAAAGAGAAAGAAACTGGAGGGTCAGTGAGATGTCTCTGCAGGTAAAGATGTTTACCCCTCAAGCCTAACAGCCTAAGTTTGATCCCTGGAACCCATGTAAATGTGGAAGGAGAGCGCTGACTTCACAAAGTTGTCCTCTGATCTCCATGAGCACGTCCCACCTCCTATGTAGTCTCAAGAAGTCACATGTAGGGTTTAAACGTGACCCAGCAATTCCACTCCTAAGGGTGTATAGCCAGGAAAGAGGCATAGGGAGTGGAGGCGGCTGCCAGTGGGCAGGGAGTTTCTTCTGTGGACAATGAAAACATTCCAAGCTTAAGATGATTGTACAACTCTGTGGGTATAACAAAGACATTGAATTGCATACCCATTTTTAACGTTTACTTATGTATGTGTGTTGCACAAGTGTATGAAGATGCACAAAGAGGCCAGAAGAAAGCGTCACATCTCCTGGAGCTGAAGTTACAGGCTTTGCAAGCCATTCAGTGTGGGTGCTGGGAACCAAACTCTTGTCGTCTGCAAGAGCAGCAAGTGCTCTTAACTGCTGAGCCATCTTTCCAGCCCTGTATACACCTGTGTTTTAAAATGGATTATTTTATTATGAGTGAACCATAAAAAATATTTTTTAAACAGTTGAAAACAAATTGCCTAATGTTTACTTTTTTCTTGATAGGAAAGCAAGAGCTGGATTTCTGAAGATGACTTCTACCAACCTCCCCAGGAGTGTGCGTCTGAGAGTGCTTCAGACCTCTCCACACTTCCTTCACTAGAGACTCTGGAATCGAGGCGCACTCTCCACAGGCATTTTTCTCAAGGACCAGTGCAGCCCCAGCAGTGCAGGAGCATAAGAACTTCTGTGTGGTGCACAGGAGGCAGATGGGTAGATGGCTCTGCTGGGACAATCTCTTTCAAAAAGTAGCTTACAAGTCCTGTTTGCCCTTACCAACAGGTGGTATGTTCTCACAAAATAAATCCTCACTCAGAATATAACAGTAAGACAGGAATTCAGGAGAGAGTTCAGAAAAAGTGCTACATTCTCATAAAATCTCAGTAAAACGGTGTCACAAAGGTCTTACTGTGTAGCCCTGGCTTGCCTAGTACTTAATATGTGGCTCAGACTGGAACTTACAGCCATCTTTGTGCCTCAACCTCTGGAGCACTGGGATCACAGGCATGTGCCATTGTGCCTGGCTGTTTTCATAAATTGAAATGGAAATATTCTCCCTAAAATTATGTCATGAAATTTAGGATGGCAAATTCCAGCCTACAGAGTGAATTCAGGGCCAACCTGGATAAGTTAGCATCTATGATCTTATTTCCGAAAACCAAAAAACATACAGGGACTATACTACGCCCAGTGATAGAGCACTTAACGTATGAAGTTAAGATTCCATCCCCAGTAGCATTTAAAAAAAAAAGCTAAACCAGAAAATTTAAGATTGCAGTGAGCTTGTGAGTCCCTCCATGACTCAGAGGAAAACCCGCCCTGAAGGCCTGGTTGCTTTAATTGCTTCTTCTAAAGGCCTTCATCTTGGATGGTTCTGTGAGCAACCCTGATGGGGTCTGTCAACCCTGCTGTTTGTTCTGTCCTCCTAGTGCTATTTATAATGTGGCCAGTTTAATCTCTACATCCTTTAACAGTCCAGAAAGCATTAAATAACCCTAGGTTAATTTTTCAGTAACCCTCAAAATGGGTTGTTGTGGTTTTTGAGACAGAGTCTCATACTATTGTTGTCCTGAAATTCAGCTACTTAACTGGAACTTGCTACAGTTCTCCTGTCTTAGTTTCTTGAGTGCTAAGGTTAAAAGCATGAGTCACCATACCCGTCTTGAGGTTCCCATAAAAGCAAAGAAAACAAGCTTGCCCTGGCATTGGTCTGCATCTCTCCTCATTTTCTCATGGCAGGGGCTCAGCAGAGAATTCTCCCGGAGTCCCCCAGTCTCCATGCTGGCTTTTTTTTATTTGTCTCGGTCAGGACTGGCTGTGGTCTCTAACTCTGCCAGATAAGCCAGAAAGGCCTTTGGAAGAAGCTTCATACCTAGGCTATTAGATTCCCTGTCACTCTGTGCAATCATTTCAAATCTCCAGGGTTAGTTCAGACTGACAGAGAATTATGTTTCCTTTGGACTCCTGCTTAAGGGCAGGTTCCAGGGCAGTAGGGAACATTGAGCAGTGTGTGGCACATAGGCACTCACCCAACCACTTGCTCATGTAGCAGATATTTTTGTGAGTATGCCAGGCATCATCTGTGATGTGCTAGGCATTACCCTAGGTGCTAGAGACACAGCAGGAAGCAAAGCAGTGTCCATATCCATATCGTCATGAGACTTAAGTTATAATGGGGAAGGAATAGGAAATTGACCAGTAAATGTGGAGTGTGGTCAAATGGTGATAAAAGCTATGGCAGATAATTAGTGGGGATGCTCAAGTGGAGGGTAGTCTTGCTATAGTGTGTGTGTGTAAATCCCTGAAAGCAGGTGAGAACAGCTAGGAGGAGGGTGGCCAGGGAAAGAGACCCAGTGCTGAGCTCCAGGTGCTCCAAGATGCTGAGGAGAGGGTGGAGATGAGGGCTTCAGGGAGGCTTTAGGGTTAGCCGCAGGAGGGCATTAATGGCCCTCTCTGGAGCAGTTTCAGTAGAATGAGGAGAAAAAAACCTTTTCGGGGACAGGTTCAAAAAGGAATGAGAGGCGGTATTGCATACGCCTTTAGTCCCAAAGCTTGGGAGGCAGAGGCAGGTGGATCTCTGAGTTTCAAGCCAGTCTGGTCTACTTACTGAGTTTCAGCACTTGCCAGGTCTACATCGTGAAACCCTGTCTC